CCCCCCCCCTCCGCCCCAAGACTTCATCACGCACTTATCATATAAAATAGTATACGCAATACGTGCGGACAGCAGGCGGTAATTCCGCACTAGTTGCGTAATGTACTATTTATTTCGTTTTATTGTATTTAGAAAAAAAGAATAAATATATATATAAGAATATATATATATAGATTATATTTATTATATTATTAAATTCGGTTTTAATCTTGAGACCCTCATCAACGTAGTTCAAACCAAGGTGTATGTTACATTAAGGGGTAACGGAACCGACCACAAAAAGACGTTTACCAAAAACAAGTTTTCTTGGATTCTATGCAATGAGAATCAATGAAACTTTTTCCCCGTATTGAAAGTAGCGGAACGCATCGCTCTCTTCTCATGCTTTTCTTATTTATGCGAAAAAAAAATTGCAAATTATTTAACGGCAAGGACCAGGGCAAGGCCGACGCCATTTTATTTGTAGGCATCTGCCAAGTCGTCGTAGAAAAACCGATTTTTTGTAGATTTTTCTTAGCCGATGGCTATTTTCATGAGAAGAGAGCGATCGAGTGAGGTCCAAGACGGAGATTTTGAGTACAAAAACGTACTTTTGTTGCGTAATTTTCGTAAAAACTTGTTTATGATGATTGGGTGGTATTCAGGAGGTAACTCCTGAAGATAACTCGTCTTCGGCTCATGCTGTAAACCCCACACACGTTAAAGACGAAATTGCCCCACACGTGCTGAAATATACTATTCCATCTGCCTTAGACTCCGAGATATTCATTGAAAACTGAGACAATAGTCTAAATCGACTTGAACCGTTTTATCGCTTCGCTACGGGATTGCAGTCGTGAATAATGAACAACGAATTTGAATTAAATGTTGATGGATCACCTGGTACTCCATAGTCTCCGATCCGAGGAGATTCAATTTTAATGATTTCCAATCGATCGTGGCGCGCTCTCTGTAGGCCGCCAGTGGGCCGCGTTTCGGAAAACTGCAACCCTTCATTGTCGATACTTTTGGAAATACCAATTAATCTGCAATAAACTGTTTCTCTCTACATAATCTCTGTATATAATAAAAAAATAAGAAACTAGCATAGATTCTTGAGTTGAGTTGAGTCTTCAGTCTGTGAAATTCTATTGAATTTCTTGTGAAGTTTTATTAGAATTTTACTAAAAAGTTGTTTTTGTTTTTTTGTGCCATTTCTATAGGAGCTGATGCAACTTTACCGCGTTAATTTGCAAACAGATATTTGATAGAAAAATATAAATAAATTTTGATTGTTCTATAGAAAAAATTCTTGGCGACATAGATTTCATCGATGTCATAGATTTCATAAATCTCATAGATTTCATAAATGTCCCTAGAAGGTGGGATGAGTCGTAATGAATGCAAAGAATACACAGGTGGCGAAACAGAACGAAAAAAATTCTTAAAAAATTTGTTCATTTTTTAGAAACCGCATGAAGTGAGTTGAGGGTGATCTGAATGGAACAAGAATATTGAAAAATGTTTAAAAATACGAGGTGGAGGTTCCGCAATTTTGAAAGTCACTTGCGATAGAGGGAGAAGGTATCTAAGCAAGATGGCGGCGCCCACACTTATTAACCACCTCGTACTTTTGAACATTTCTTAGAATTATTTATCTTCTTCAGATCAACTTCAACTCGGAGCATCTAGTTCCTGGAAAATGAACAAATCTTTCACGATATCCTTCAGATTTTTTCATTCCTTTTTGGCTGAGAGTTCATGGTACAAAGTTTTCCTCTGATTTCAGTAGTTTTTTTTACTCCTTGCGGCCTCCTGAGGTGGCATAGAATATCGAGGTAACAATCGAAATCTGGTTCAGAGTATCTCTTGAATTATTTACAAACATGATTCACGTATTTCAGGATCGCCCGATTTTACGAGGGGTCAATCGATTGCATTAAAGTCGCAGTTGGGCATTAAGAGCCACGAAATGAAGACTAGCAATAGCTTGGTGGCCTAATGACAATGTTCTGTATGATATTTTGCATAATGTTCCTATTACATTTGACTATCGTCGACTGCCAGAGGCAAGTTCGAAGAAATCAATCGAAGAAATTCATCTAAGAAATAATAATTCGATAATTCATGTTCGTATCTTCTCAATAATTTCTCCACTCCAGCACGAAATTATATGAATGGTGCAATCAGCCGGAAGAACCTCTACAGGATTTACTCAATTACATCCTCGATCAGATGACGCAGAAGAGCAAGTGCATCGTATTCATGATCGATCCTTACTACCGCAAGTTGATTCGTTATAATTGGGCGCAACTGCGTGTTCTACCCTACTATTCAGTAATATCAATCGACTGTGAAATGGATTACAATCCATTGATCAGGTTATTAATTCTGAAATCAATTAAAATGTAATCTTCAATGGTATTTGGCTTTTTGTGTACAGATTTATGTAAAAGAGAGTGAAGAATTTACACCACCAAGACGAAGAGTGGAGGATATCTTGAGCGAGAGCAAGAATGATGGATGCGATGCTTATGTCCTGTTAATCACGAATGGATTACAAGTATCGCAATTATTGGAGTACGCAGAGAGGTGAATTTTAACCCATTGCCTCGCGTAAGTCTCGAATCGTCTTGGTGTGAGAGGAGTGGGGGGTCCGTCCGAGTATTAGTGCGCAATAAGAGAATCCCGCTGGCGCACGCACACCACTGCAAAACGGCGAAAAGTGGGGTACCGTGAGACGAAGCAAAGGGTTAAAGTAGCTCTCGCCTTGGGAGGTTATTTTTCAATTGAAAGATTTTTAAAAACTACAAACAATTACCCGAAAACTCGATGAGATTCGGAATCTTAATTTGTTTTATCATCAAAATCATTATTCAACCTAAGATTTTATGTGAAAATCTTCAAATGTTGCATATCTCCGTCCAAGCAAAACATTAAAATCGTTTTTTTTTATTAAAAATGTGAAAAAAATGATGAGACATATTGGCATTTTTTCAATCACAATTTACTGTTTAGTTTTTTTTTATTATTAACAATCTCGCTCTCCCGTTTGTTTGAGCGAACGAATCAATACTTTTTGTAACTGAAGGTTCAAATGAGGGCTAAAACGGGGAAAGATCAAACAAGGAAAGGCTAAACAATGGAAGAGTCACAAGGGTCTGATTAAGGGTCACAAGGGTCAGAATAAGGGTCTCAATAAGAGTCATGAGGGTGATATCGGGCGGAGCGAGCAGGGAGCATAGCCCCCTAGAAAAAAACAATAATTTTTAAACTTTCTTGTTTTGTGATTCGAGCCGTAATTGAGGATAGAGCTACTTTAATCTTAATTTTTTTCCTTCAAATTCAAATTCTCTCTGAAGATATTAATCGTTAAGGACGCTGTACGCTGCGATATTTTTCTCGATAAACTCTAATTCTGATTTTTTTTCCATTGTTCACCATTATTATAAACATGTCAATAATTATGAAAGAATAAATACACAATTAATTACGTCGTATTTTTTTTGTCGAAATGATAATAAGTGTTCTCCTAGGAATCGAATAATAAATACTCGAGGAAATTTTCTCATGATCCATGACACTCTGCTATTCGATGTGGGGATGAAATACATATGGAACAGAATAACAAAAGTCATGTTCATCCATCGATTCACGGTATTGACGAGACGTTCCAATAAGACAACCATGAAAGAATGGTTCAATCTCGAGACTGTCTCCTATCCAGTTCGAGCCAACAATTTCGTGAAAACTAGATACGTCAACACTTGGCATAAAGGCAGAATGTTAAACAAAGATGTTGATAATCCATTTACTAACAAAACCCTGAGGTTGGAGAGAAGAAGTTTGAGGTAAATTACCACAATTTTTTATTTTTCCGGAATTTTTTTTTGCGAGGAAAATTTGCAGTCTTGGCGGAGAAAATATTCAGGTGAATTCCGCCGTATCTTTTTTGTTTTCAGAGTTGCTATTTTCGAACATATACCTGCAGTTACGCGATATTCTAGACAGTTGCAAAAACATTATCGAGACTATAGTGAGAAAGCCTCAGGTGTAGAATTTGAGGTAATAATTTTATTTAAATATTCTACTCATAAATAATATGAATATAATCGTAAATAAGTAAGAGAAGGAAACTGGAAAAATCATGCGCATAACTCTCGAGAAATAGTTTGAGAAATTTGTTCCTTTTCTAGGAACGGGATGGAATGAGTCGAAGGTAATTTGAAGAGGATAAATAATTTTAAGAAATGTTCAAAAATAGGAGGTGGTTAACACGTGTGGGTGCCGCCATCTTGCTTGGATATCCCCTCCCTCTGCCGCAAGGGGCTTTAAAGATGACGATGTTTCCACCTCGTATTTTGGAATATTTATAAAAATTATGTAGCCTCTTCAGATCACCCTCAACTCGCGTCATTCAGTTTCTAAAAAATGAACAAATTTTTCAACCCATCCTTCAGATTTTTCCGTCCTCTTTTGACTGAAAATTGATGGCACAAATATTGGCGGCATTTTTGTCGTTTTTTTTTACTCCCGATGCCTTTAAAAAATATTTTGAGAAAAATATTGATCCAGAACTACTTTTTCTCAAGTAGAAGTACTCACGCTGATTAATCTCTCAACTATTAATACTTATATTGCATCATAATTGATGTTTTCATAGATCATGCGAGTTCTCAGTGACAAGATGCATTTCAAACCCAATTTCTACACTCCCGTAGATATAGAAATAGAGAAATGGGGCACCAAGGACGATAATGGGAGCTACAATGGTCTCCTGGGAGAAGCAGAACGAGGAAATGCAGAATTTTTCTTAGGAGATCTTCACTACACCTTGAGACACTTTGAATTACTGGAATTATCTTATCCATATAACACTGAATGTCTCACATTTCTCACTCCTGAATCGCTGACTGATAATTCTTGGAAACTCTTGATCTCTCCGTTCAGGTGATGATAAATAACTTTCGAGAAATAAATCTTTAAAAATCGGTTCATTCTCAACTTTTTTCATCCTTCCACTTCGTTCTGAGACAAATAAATTTTTCAAATTTCACCGGTTTTTCGTTGCAAGGGTTAACTTGCCAATGCGGCCATCGCCCGAGGGCCTTCAGCCAGGGAATGTTGAATGTGGAGTGGATTTTTCAGTTGAAAATTCCGTGGAATATTCGATTTGAAAATTGTGTTGAATTTTCAGTTGAATATTATGTGGAAAATTGTGATGAAAAATTGGTGTGGAATTTTGGCCCGGCCGGGGCTCGAACCTGGGAGCTTGAGGTTGTGAATCTCATGCTGCTACCAAGTGCGCCACACAGCCGGGTTCGTTCTGAGACATTTCATTACATAGAATCTTAACCTCGAGGGATATTTGAGAGGAGAAAATCTGAAGAATGGCTTGAAATTTTTTTTTTTCTAAGAACCGAATGAAACGAGTTGAAAGTGCTCTGAAAGAGATAAATAATTTTAAGAAATCTTCAAAAATAGAAAATGATTGACAGGCGTGGACGCCGCCATTTTGCTTGGATACCCCTCCCTCTGCCACAAGGGCCTTTAACGATGGCAGCGCTTCCACCTCGCGTTTTTAAACATTTCTCAACATTATTTGTCCTCTTCAGATTACCCTCAACTCGCTTCATCCGGTCCCTATAAAATGAACAAATTTTTCGAGCCATTTTTCAGATTTTTCCATGCCCTTTTGACTGAAAATTCACGTTTTCCCATTTTTCATTTTTTTTTCACTCCCAAAGTTTTGGAAATTTATCGTGAAATATTATGAAATCAAACCAATCATCATTATCACGATTTTAGACTCTACGCATGGATAGCAGTGATACTGATTCTCCTCCTGGGTGCCTGTGCATTCCACTTCTTCGCACTATTCTATCAGAACCAAATAATGCCGTATGTGAGAAATACAAATGCTGAGGGGATAGTCATATCAAAAGAAAGATCATTGGTTTTAAGAACCAACGCTCCAAGATTCCGCATGACTAGAGGAAGACAATGGGACGAGCAAATGAGGGGTTTGACCCTCTTCACTGATATGCAGAACAGCATGCTTTACACATACAGCATGCTCCTTCAAGTCTCTCTCCCGAGGCTACCGAGACCGTGGGCCCTCAGGGTCTTCATTGGATGGTGGTTGTTGTACGCGATTCTTGTGACTGTCGCTTATAGAGCGAGTATGACTGCTACGCTAGCTAATCCTGTCGCAAAGTAATACTAATCCCCGATCATTAAACGTCATTTAATGAGTTGATAAAATCGATCCTGAACAAAATAATCCCACCCAAATTAATTCTGGTGAGAATAAGGCTCGTTGTTTAATACACTTTTCCTACTCGTGCGGAAAAGTGTTCATTGGAGAAACCGGGAGGAAGATCAGTACAGTGGACTCTCCTTAATTCCCACAGCTCGGGGGGTGTCCTTGACGCCATTTCATGTGAAATGCGAGTAAGGGAGGGACCCCGCTCCACCAGTTCAGGCGGCATTAGAGAAGGGGAAGCGGAGAATAGTGGGGAGGATCTTGGCAGTGGAAGGAAAGGAGCATAACCTTCTGTGACCCACTACGCACTCCGCAGCGCATCACCTCACAGAGGAGGATAAACTATAAATGAGGAGTGGGGGGACGATTTTGAGGAGAAGCAGGCCTCGAGGGGAGTAGAGTGCGAATTATGGAATGGGAAAATAAAGGAGAGTCCACTGGACATGGACCAACGAACGCCAGCGGTATTCCAAATACGGTCGCATAGAACAGTCTGCCCTGGCTGAACAGTGGATGAACTTTGGACACACTATCCAGTATGATCGAGCAAGAATGTTGGCCTAATCTCGAGAATATTTCGAGAGATTTTGGAGATTTACAAAAATTCTAACAAACTCAAAAGGGACAGAGGATATCAAGTGAACCCTATTTGGAAAACCGTCGTCCCGGTTTTTAACTGACCAGCTGAAAAATTAAAAAATGAATGGCTAATGAATAGATAACGAATAGCTAATCCCCCCCCCATCGTATCGTCATTTCTCACAGGAGATTCAGATAAAAATTACGGAATGCTCCGGAAAAATTCCGTGACAATTCCGTAAAATTTCCTACAACTACATTTCGCTTCGGAATTACGGAAAAAAATACGTAATTTTTATTGAACATTTCTCTCCGTGTGATTTTTCGTGTTCAGACATACATAATCGATCTTCAATGCATGAGAAATTTCACTTCAATAGCCCACGACTTTTAAAACTCATAGTAGTCTCTCCTTAATCATTAATTAATTCACCAGTTGCATGAGAGGGGCATAGTCCCCTAGTGGAAAATAATGCAAACGTAATTGGCATAAGTAAAGGGGGAAAAAGGCTTGATGGAAATCCTACAGCTTTCCTGAATCCTTCATCAGTCGCCTGAGGGGGGCGAAGCCCCCCTGGGTCAGGGGGCTTAGCCCCCCGTCGAAACTGGTGAAAACGTCATCACCATTCGTAGCCAATTAAATCCTTTTGATTCATTCCAGAATTACAATCGATACACTGCAACAGCTAGCTAAAAGCAGAATTTCAGTTGGCGGATGGAGCGAAGAACAACGCGATCTATTCGGCGCATCATTAGATCCAGACTTGATTGAAATCGCCACAAGATTTGAGCTGACCCTCAAGGAGGATGATGCTGTGGCTAGAGTGGCCAATGGAACATTCGGATACTACGACAACATCCAAACTCTCCAGGAGGCTCGAGCCAAACGCCAATTGTTGGAAGAAATGCGGAAAAAAAAGTCAACTCGCGAGGAAAAGGTCATAGATGACAGGAATTTGCATGTTATGTCGGAGTGCGTAATTTATATGCCAATATCAATTGGCATGGACAGGAATTCACCGCTGAAGCCTCAAGTTGATGAAATTGTAATTAATTCACACATGTATCTATTATTATGCATTCACACACGAAAAAAAATTCATAGAAAAACCAAGTGAATTTCATTTTAAAACATTGTGTTGGATGTTTATTCTTTTGAAACATTGAAAAGCCGTATATGAAACGAAAAAAAAAAAAAAGAGGAATGTATTGATAATAGTTGATAAAACCTAATTGGATTTTTATTGGACTTCTATCGGGAAATGAATAGATATTGTTGAACATTTTTTAATAAAAAAATTGTAACTTTAATCTTCTTTCTCCTATTTTATAGAAAAAATCAGTAGAATTTAATTATTCCATACAACTTTTTCTACTCAAAAAAAATTTGAGAATCGGAAAAAAACTAATAGAAAATTCGGTACAAATTCAATGGAATATTTTTTGTGTGTTATATTATCTATTATTCAGAGAAGAATAAGTGGTGAAATAATGGATGACATTCGTAATTTTTGCTAATTATTTCGAAACCGAGGCATTCATAAAAATAAAATAAAAGTGTCTCATATTTCTCATCTAATTTTCATGTTCAGAAATGAATAATTTCATGCAAAATTCGAATTATGATTGATCAGAAAAATCATTGACTCTAGGTGAGACGAGTCGTCGAAGCAGGCTTCGTGGAGAAGTGGCTGAGCGATGTGACGGAATGGTCGAAAATCACTGAACTCAAAGACGAGTCCCCCGCAGCCAAGGCCACGGTCAACCTCCACAAGCTCCACGGGGCCCTAGTGGCCCTCGGTATCGGATACTTCCTCGGTTTCCTCGCGCTGATAATCGAGAAAATACAGTGGAAGTACTTCGTGATGAAAGATCCCGCGTTCGATAAATATCAGATGGATGTCTTTTATTCTATGTCCAGATCGAACTTCATTAATAAAGGGGGCATAGCCTCCTGTCGAAAATCATGACAACGTAATTGGAACAAGTACATGGAGAGAAAGGACTGTTGGAAATGCTAAAGCTTTCATTAATCCTTCACCAGTTGTATGAGGGGGGCGCAGCCCCCTGGGGCAGGGGGCATAGCCCCCCAGTCGAAAGTAATGAAAACGTGATTGGAATAAGAAAATGTGTAGAATGGAGTGATGGAAATTCTATAGCTTCCATTAATCCTTTATCAGTTGCCTGGGGGGGGGGCGAAGCCCCTCTGGGGAAGGGGGCAGTCCTCCAGCCGAAAGTAATGAAAACGTGATTGGAATTAGTAAATGGGGAGAACGGACTGATGGAAATGCTAAAACTTTCATTAATTCTTCATTAATTCTAAATCGTAAATAGGTTTTCCTATTGGATTTTTCCATACGTGTCAGCATTGCGCTACTAACCTGAATCGGAAATAATGGGCCAACGGCAATAACGTCACTATTTCCAATTACCCTTTTTTCTTCCAATAGGATTGAAGGAGTTTTTTCCACCAGGGAGACTACTATGAGTTTTAAAAGTCGTGGGTTATTGGAGTGAGACTTTTCATACGTTGAAGATCGATTATATAGATCTGAAAAGGAATAATTAGTGCAAAAAAAATTGTTTATTGTTCGTTTGCCCGAAAGCGCTTAAAATGCTAAAAACAGTCCAGGGCCTCCAATTTTTGAGCTACAAAAGATTTTGTTTTTCAAAATTTTCGGAAAAATGTGTGGAATAACAATTACGAGTCAGTTTTTTGGAATTCGAGTCCTACACAGCTGATTTCGGTTTTTTTCATATAAAAAAATTCACTATTTGTGTAAAAAAAATACACAAAAAGCAAATTTAGCCATGTAAAAGGCGAATTAAAAAAAAAATAGCTCGTAATTGTTATTCCACATATTTTTCAGAAAATTTTGAAAAAAAAAAATCTCCGTAGCTCAAAAATTGGAGGCCCTGGAGTATTTTTGGCATTTCAAGCGTTTTCGGGCAAACGAACACTAAAAAAAAAATTGTTTTGCACTAATTATTCGTTTTCAGGTGTATATAATCGATCTTCTACGTATGAAAAGTCTCACTGCAATAACCCACGACTTTTAAAACTCACAGTAGTCTCCCCTTAAGTCGCCCGATTGTCCTTAAGAAGAGGAAGATAAATACTTGAACGGAACATTACCTCCACTATCATGAATATTGCATCAAATAATCCACAATTTTGCTACACGCACACTCGCACTCTCCACGTACGCACTTTTATAAAAAAAAAACAAAGAAAATACTAAATGAGGGGATATAATGACAGTGCAACAAGTGGTCTTCAACTACCGATGCACAGTTGTACACTACCACACACAATTGTTACGTCAATTACCTTCACATACATTCTCTTTTACCGCACACAACCCCATAATTGTTTCCATCAAAACTCGATAAAAAGCAAACTGGTTTGTTAAAGCCAGACTCGAGAAAAAAAACTTCACTAAAAATGCTTAAGAGAGAAAAAAAAAAATCTGATTTTGTATTCATTTCAAAATAATAAAATCCCTTTTTTTTAATTATCATCGAAGAATTTTTCATTTCAAAATTCATTATTAATGGAACAATAACTAATTAATTAATGATCATTAAGATTTAGTTATTCAATCAAATTTAATATCAACAATATTGAGTAATAATAATATTAATAATAATAATAATAAATTAATCGATTTAAAAAAATTGTAATCGTTCAAATTTACGTTTTGGATTTTTTGTGTTAAATCGACGCATTATGATCCAAACAGTTCAAAATATGTAATTTTATAGTAAAGTTTTTCTTCAATTGTTCATCAACAAATAGATGGAATTGAATCCTTTTTTGTCAAATGTAAGTATTGTTGAACCCTATCGATCGCCATTAATTAAAATTTAATTCATTGATTAGTTTCTTTAATTTTTGACTTTTTTCGAAAATCGGTTGTCCCATGATAATTTAAAAAAATGTTCTGAATTGATTGAATGTTGGTTTAAAAAATTTGTTTGGATGCCCCTTTGACCGAGTTCGAAGATGAAGGCGATAGCAATAATCGTTATTTTGATTTATTCGAAAATTTTCAAGAATTTTGTATTTTTTGAAAATCAGAATTCGGGGGATATCTTTGAATAACATGCTTCAACTGAATTCACTCATCGCTTAAAATGTTCATTTTAATGCCATTAAGTCGAAATTAAAGATGATTACGATAGCTATCTATAGGTTGATTTGAATGACAATGTCACAGTTGAAATGTCGTCCAGTGATAACTGGGGGGACCGTATGTACATACCTGTGTGCACCATCAGCTGTTTTATTCCAAACTGAGCTGTTCTCCCACTGACCTGCACTGACCCTTATTTACGTAGTGGTCCTAACCTCAAAATTCCCTTCCTCGTCGCTCGAGAGCCAACAACGTCAATTATAAAGAGGGAGGAGAACTGGTGATTTTAATATAAATTGATAAGCAGATAGTGATTGCAGATAAATATGAGCGATGCAGAACTCCAGGAGGAGGAGCGAGAGGTACTTTTATCGATCTACGAGGGGGACAATGCCTTTAAGCAGTTGACATCGACGACCTACCAGTACAAGGTTTGCCATCAGCATGTCATTGAGTAGTCAGTGGTTTTTTACGAATGAATTTTGTCCCCTCAGTTCGGCGATGACAATGACCCCCGTTCGTTTCTGGTTGAGATCACTTGGAACGAGAACTACCCGACGGAGAGGCCGACTGTTAATATGGAAACATTTTACAATAAACACATGTATGTAACACACGATTCTGGGGAGATGGGTGGGGCAAAGTGTGCTTTTTTGAGTTTTTTTCAGGGTTCATAACTCAGGAACTGATTGAGGATTTATAATTTCGTGAATCCATTTATTTTACGGTTTTATTATTATTCAGCACGAATGGGACGGATTGTATTTTTTTGTTTAAATTTAACATCTGAGCTTTCATTTGGGCCCCATTTGACCACAAGTTTCCGGACATTTTACAATGATTTTAATAGTTAAACTTTACAGGTCTGAATTTGAATCGCGATATTGAACTGTTAGAGAACATTTTAAGGGGAGATTACTATGAGTTTTAAAAGTCGTGGGTTATTGGAGTGAGACATTTCATACGTTGAAGATCGATTATATAGATCTAAAAACGAATAATTAGTGCAAAAAAAATTTTTTGTTATTGTTCGTTTGCCCGAAAACGTTTAAAATGATAAAAACAGTCCGGGGCTTCAATTTTTGAGCTACAAAAGATTTTTTGTTCAAAATTTTTGGAAACTGTGTGGAACAACAATTACGAGCCAGTTTTTTTTAATTCGACTTCTACACAGCTGATTTCTTTTTTTTTTTTCATATAAAAAAATTCACTATTTGTGTAAAAAAATTCAAAAAAAGCAAATTTAGCCATGTAAGAGGCGAATTAAAAAAAACTAACTCGTAATTGTTATTCCACATATTGTTAAAAATTGCGACCATTTTCTGTAAATAATTAATAAACAATCGATTTTCCACCATAAAAATCATTTGTTCGAAATCGTAATAGACTTATTCATACTCAGAATTTTATTAGAAATCGATGTCATGCCTAAACAAGTGGGAAATTGCTCTTTTATTGTAGGGCAGAGTAGGGCAAAATGAAATAGTCAAAAAAACGACTGTTTGACGAAAATCAAGCAAAAAAAAATTTTTTTATTACATTTTTTTTGCCAGCTTTTTTTTATTCTTAGGAGTACTGGTGAGAATAATAATTCTCCATTCAGTAGAATAAAAATAAAAATGATGAGTGTACAATCAAAAGGAGTAGAAAAAAAACTGAATATTTTCGAAAAGCGTTTTTAATAAAGATTAAGAAATAATTCCGATAGAGAGGAAATAGTGAATGGATAATTTATCATGGTAACTAACGATCTGAGAGTCATTGACTACTGCGGTAAATGACGACCTAACAGTCATTAGATACCTGAAATTATTAATTAGCAATTTCCTCCCTATTGGCTTTATTTCCCAATATTATCCAAAAACACTCTTTGAAAATATTGAGCTTTTTTTCAACGTTTTTTTTATCGTACAATCATAATTTTTGGAGGCTCCAGGGCTATGTAAAACTGAATAGCAATTGGAAAGATCATTTCAGATTATCAAAATAAAAAAAAAACAACCAAGCTCACGTTCAAAAGATAATCCACCCAGGCTTCAATTCAAAAATAAATTTTTGAATAAAATAAATCTCCACAGCATGCACAAGAATGAAGATAATTTTTTAAAATTCATCTCTTTTTTTTATGTGCAGTATCCCAAGTGTCAAATCCAAAATATTATCTCATATCAATGCCGAAGCAGAGCAGTGGTTAGGATGTGCCATGACGTATACCCTCTTCCAATCAGTCCAAGAGCATTTAAGTGAATTAATAGAGGATCAGCCCGAGTCTATCGTTGATATCAGTGCTCAAGCTGCAAAAATCGCCATTGGAAACGATGCTGCCGAGCAGGTAATTATAAGACCGCACGAAAAAATTTCATAGAGAAACTCAGTGAATTCGATAGAAAATTCTATTAGCTTTTGGCCAATTCTATGGGAGAATTCCGCACCTTTACTGGGCGTTTTTCGATCGAAATTGTTCAATAGTCCAGTATTTTAGAGAAGAAATTGGTAGAATTTATCGTTTATATTAAGACATTTTCAATAGGAATTCTTTGTCATCAATTTTTCATGTTTTTTACTCCATTTTCTTCCTTTTTTTCATTAAAAAATCGAACAAAAAACGTGGAAAATTTAATCTGAAGAATTTCTGTTGAATTTCTATTGAAAATTCCATTCGTTCTTGACTAATTCTATTGGAAGCTTCACTATGTGTTTTTTAATCGGAAATGTGCGATAGAAACTATTTTATAGAAAAAATCAGTAGAACTTCCGTTTTCCTATTGAGACTTCTCTATGGGAATTCCTCGACATCAGTTTTGTAAGTTTTTTACTCCATTTTCATTCCTTTCTCATGAAGAGTTGAACAAAAAAAAATTAGAACTCTGTTGAACTTTTTCTATTGAAAAAGAAAATCACACATGAGCTACCAAAATTTCCAATAGAATCATGCAGAAATTAATAAACTAATAAATGTAAAAATGCATTTAAAAACCCCATAAGTGAATTCGACAAACAATTCCATTGGATTTCTATTGAAAATTCCATTAATTCTTGTTCTGCAATGTCAACATCCTCTATAATATTAACGCAGGACGAAGTATCGAAAAAGCCTGCGAAGAAGGAGCAACTGACCAAAGCCCAGAAGCGAAGACAGTGGAACCGAGTCGATGGCAAGGGGGACAAACCCCGAGGATGGGACTGGGTAGATATTGTTAAGCATTTGTCTCAAACGGGTTCGAAACCAGAACCAGAGGCTTAACATAACACTAAATAAATTAAGCAATTGTTTTTGGAACGGTCGTATAAAATTTATTTCTCGTATTTTCGATAACAAAATGTACAGATGAGTGAAAATGGGACAGAATATATTGTTACGAATTGCCAAGTTTTTCAGTTCCACTGTATCATGAGTTTTTTCGTCTCTTTATTTTAAACTTCTCAAAGTATTTCCCCTGAAGTTTAATTGCGTCTCAATTTTTTAATTATTTTTAAATTGTTATGAATTTAAATTTTTTAATTATTTTTTTCTTTTTTTTTCTGTTAATAGTTATTCTTTTTCTGTTCGTCTCATTTTCATTTCAATGAACATCAATTAATTAGAACCCACGAGCCTTTCATTCCGTTTGCTTTTTAGTCGTTCAAATTGATGTTTTGAATTTTTAACTGTTCGCTGATGAAACGATGGAATTTATTCCTCGCCTTCGACTCGGGTGGTAATTCTGCATGAGGGTACGACTCCTTCATTTTCCCTACCTAGGTAGGGAATATACTATTGTGTTATATGAAACCGAAAGCAATTTCCTATTTGTTTTTTATAGAAATTAAAGATGATAAAACACGCGAAATTCCGCTCTCTTCTCCCCTATTCATGGAATGTTTTAAAATAATTCTCATCGTGTTTTGGTAGCTTCAAAGGTCCCATCGAGCTCTCCATTCGCCAATGGGCAGCAGATTAATCTCCTGTTTCCACCCTGAAATTGAAAAAAAAACATTATTATGAATATCCATTTTCTCCTTTTGAATGCATCCCATCAGGTACATTAACTTCTTTTCATCTGAACATTTCTGAAGCCAGTGTTCCTCTCGTTTTGTCATGTTGATTACGTTCATTTTCTATCGTCTCTATTTACTTTAATAAACAAGCTAACAAAATTTTTCATTTTTTTATCGAATAACAACGTTGATTGAATGAGAATAAACAAAATAAAAATTTATTCGCAATCAGAAGTAATTGTTTTCCACAGTACCTGCGCTACAAATGACAAGTGATAGTTCAGTCGCCTATTGTTTTTCTAAATTATAATGTTTGAAAATTATTTCAGCTCACGTCTTGCCACGGAAAATATTCAATATATTTTTTTCAATCAATCAACAACCCTGTTTCGAAATTCAAAATTTAATTCTCGAGCAGTACTTATCATTGAAACGTAAGTTTCTCGGGTTGTATTTTTTGTATATATATTTTTCAATAAAAACAAGAAAAAAAATTATTTTCAAAAATTTGTTTTTTTCCCTGTGCAATGAGAGAAATATGGATTTTTAAAAATAATTGATTTTTTTCCAAGAAAAATCGATTCACAACATCGATGTTTTTGAAAAACATCGATTGTTCGAAAACATCGCCCATCCCGACCCTGACGAAGACCCAGAGTATTTCAGGGTCGAAACGTTGGTGCTATTTGAATTTAGACAATAAACTGACCGATAAGCCAAAGAAATTATCATTTAATTTTGGCAGATACATGTCTACTAGTTCATAATAAAAAAATGAAACCTCGGATCATAAAGCTTCGAAGCCAAAACGTTGCTGTGACTCACCTGTGCAATGAGAGAAATATGGATTTTTAAAAATAATTGATTTTTTTCCAAGAAAAATCGATTCACAACATCGATGTTTTTGAAAAACATCGATTGTTCGAAAACATCGCCCATCCCGACCCTGACGAAGACCCAGAGTATTTCAGGGTCGAAACGTTGGTGCTATTTGAATTTAGACAATAAACTGACCGATAAGCCAAAGAAATTATCATTTAATTTTGGCAGATACATGTCTACTAGTTCATAATAAAAAAATGAAACCTCGGATCATAAAGCTTCGAAGCCAAAACGTTGCTGTGACTCACCTGTGCAATGAGAGAAATATGGATTTTTAAAAATAATTGATTTTTTTCCAAGAAAAATCGATTCACAACATCGATGTTTTTGAAAAACATCGATTGTTCGAAAACATCGCCCATCCCGACCCTGACGAAGACCCAGAGTATTTCAGGGTCGAAACGTTGGTGCTATTTGAATTTAGACAATAAACTGACCGATAAGCCAAAGAAATTATCATTTAATTTTGGCAGATACATGTCTACTAGTTCATAATAAAAAAATGAAACCTCGGATCATAAAGCTTCGAAGCCAAAACGTTGCTGTGACTCACCACTTTGACTCAACAATTGACACCAGGTCTCGAATTCTGAAGATACATAAGAATCATTATTAATGATTTCAAGAATTGACTGATTAACATCGTCGCAATTTGATTCAGAGAGCGATGAATTGATTTTCAGTCCATGCAGGAACGATTCGAAGTAAACTCGCAATACATCCGACTGTCCAACATTTTCGCTGAGTCCAACGTTAATTCGTCGATGGTCCACGTCAGGAATGATGATGTATTTATTATTCCGGAAGTGATTTCTCAATCTGGAGATGTAATCCACAGTTGTGGTTTTTCGTTCGAGAGTAGTTGAGAGCGAAACTCCCAGTTTAATATCGAAACCACAGTATCTTTTGACTGAAAGTTGATTTTGTTATGCGATTACTTGAAGAGGTGACAGGACTATTTGTCACTATGCAAATTCATGATAACGATGGTTCCTAAAGGAAACAACGTAACCCAGAAAACATTTCGAAAACAATGTACATATCTCATGATTTCGTTCTAAACTTACAGCGCTTTTCTTGACATATTTTTTTCTAACTTATCCGGGTGGGTTTCTTTGAAACAACTTTTTTGGTTTTTAATTTCAATGTGTTTCTTGGGAATTGAAATTTCGGTAAAACAATTAAACCCTATCAGGCAGAGGGGGAGGGGGGGTTGGAGGTTATTTCAGTCCCCAAGAAATACGTCAAAATCCGAATCAAAATAATTCGTTTCGAAGAAACACCCAGATAAGTTGGAGAAAAATCGCGCCAAGAAAAGCGCTTCAAAAGAGAAAAGAAAAAAACGAGGGAAATTCGTTTTTCCTGTTAACGAATGGAATAAGAATCACACAAGACCCAAAAATTGCAAAACATAAAATAAAAAATTGTGGATCTGTTGCTTTTTGCAGTTATTAACAGCAAAAATAAACATGTGATACCAAAACCACAGCATCTTTTAATTTGAAATGGAGTTTATAATGTGATCACTTGGAGATAATTTAAAGTTTTCGAGTTTTTTTGCTCCTATTTCTCTTTTATCACATTTTATCATCATTTCTATTGTTTATATTCATATTTTGAAATTAATATAGAACAAATGTCAAAAGATCCTTTCGGGTTTTGGAAAAATTTCGAGATATTCATGAAAAACTTTACAAGGAATCCATCATGGATCAAAAAATTCTGAATCTTTTGTTATTTGCAGTTATCAACAGCAAAAAAACGTAAAAATATGAGACTAAAAAAGGAGAAAAGAATGAGGGAAATTAATCTTTCCTGTGAATGACTGCAATAAAAAATGGCAAAATATCCAAAAATTGAAAGAAAAAATTTTCAATTTAAAAATTTTAAAACCTGCAGATTTTTCATGACATCAAAAAATTGTGGATCTGTTGCTTTTTGCAGTTATTAACAACAAAAATAAACTGTAAAGACAACACATTTAAAAAAGGAGAAAAGAACGAGGGAAATTAATTATTTCTGGGAATGACTGCAAAAAAAAACAATTTTTTAAACACAGAATACTCACAAGGTTTCTGAAACAGTAGTAAAGACTCCCTCTTATTACACTCCTCAACCCCAAGTATTCTTCCACATTTCGCATAGTTATCCAGCACAAGTGCCAATCGATCTTCGTTCAAGGAATTGAATCTTAGAGATCGCACAGCTGAATAATTCGCGTAGACATGAACAATAACAAGTGTGACGTAAAGTAGAAATCCTCCTGAAACACTGAACTTTTACATTGCGAAACGATTCATCACTGGGTGGAAAAAAAGAAGAGATCTTACGAATTGTGGAGGGAGTTGAGGATGAAAATGCCTACGAATGACGCCACCAGGTTGACGAATGTCTCCTGACTGCCGTCCTTGGCAGATACATCTGCCAAGTTATTATTCAGGGCCTGCAATTTTGCATAGTAACATTGATTGTTGTATATGCTCGAATCTATACGTCTAGGGCTATATTTTTCTTGAAAAAACGAATTTTTCTCATTTCTCTGTTTTTGCCTCCGAATGGAAGCATTGCCTTCGTTAAATCTGAAATTTCCTACTTTTTTGTGTCAGGCAGGGATGGCCATAAATCCTCCGATTCTTCAATATTAAAAGAATTTGCGATTTACATGAATCAAGATTTAAATATACTAATCGAAATTAAAAAATAGTCAAATAAATGATAATCTAAATTTTCAATTGATGATGAATTAAATATTTAATAATAAAGGAGAGAGGGGGGCAAAATGAAACAGTCAAAAAATGACTGTTTGACGCAATTCAAACAAAATTTTTTTTTTTATTAAATATTTTTTTTATCAACTTTTTTTTATTCTTGGGAGTGCTCATGAGAATAATAATTTTCCATTCATTGTCAGTAGAATGGGAAACTATTGAATAGTTTTGACGGGCGAAGATTTTGTCAATGGATTAATAAAGCAGGAAAATCCAAAGTCCAGAGCAGGACTCAGAGGGAGACCCAGAGGGGGAAGAAGGAAAATGTGATGCTGAATTTCAATGGAATAATCCACTGACAAAATCTTCGCCCATCAAAAGTTTTCAATAATTTTCCATTCTACTGAATGGAAAATTATTATTCTCATCAGTACTCCCAAGAATAAAAAAAGAAAGAAGAAAAACAAAAAAAATAGAATGAAAAAAAATATTTTTGCCTGAACTGCGTCAAACAGTCGTTTTCTTGACTGTTTCATTTTGCCCCACTCTCCCCTATGGAACTGGAAATTTTGTGTAACTAAAAAAATACTAATTTCTTATAAGGGATTTCCGATTATCCAAATAATCATCAATCTTCCTAATTCAATTACTGCTTAATAAATAATTCGGAATTTGAATATGTAAATTGATTGTTACTTCAATAATTAAAATTTAAGAGTCATATTAACTAATAGATCACTTAATAATTTGACGGTAATTATAATTAATGGATATGGCTATCCCTGGTGTCAGAAGAGAATTTCCTATTTTTTTGTGTATGTGACCAATAGTTTTTCGACAACTGAAAGAATAAATTTAAATGAATCGAATTGTGATTTTGAATATTCTTTCCAATGCCAGCTTGACCGAGTTCATCTTGGGATTGATTGCATCCGCTATTGTTGAAATAATGTATTTTGAAACCAATATTCAGGGAAAGGTAAAAATTTTAACGTTGGGGCAATGTTGTCTGCCAACGTTAAGATAATGTTGAATCATTGAATTCGATTTAAAATGCGAATTGTCATAAATTCCATTCGGAAGTCAATTGCTAACTTATTAGCAGAAATATATTAACTATGTTGTGACGAAAGGAATTTATATATTTCTGAATGGATCCGTAGGAATTCCATTTAAAAAGAACGATTTTTAGATGAATGGCTCTATTTCAGATTTATAGCTTCAACTCCTCGTTTTGTGAAGATTTATAAAAAAAAATCCACTATTCACTAAAAATTGTATTTTCATGTCAATTCCTTGCCTCGTACTGACCATTATTTTGGTGAGAAAGTTCACACGAAAAATTTATTAAAGAAAAATATAGCCCGTATACTCAATTGATGATTGATCTAAAACTGGAATTCAATGAAAACCTGGTGCTGTGTGAGAGCAGCTCTCGTTGCTCCGCCCGCAACCCCAACTATAGATTTCATACTAGTTGTTGCACACAATATCAAAGTAGTGTAAGTCGTCGAAAAATAGGGGAGCAATAGCTCAATTCCCATTGCAATATCGTTCAAGACATCAGCGAAAATTCTCCACTTTTTGCATTGAGCGTCGAGTTGAGATCTGGAGCAAAAAGTAAGTTGGAGACTTTATATTTCATGAAAACCAAATGGATATACTCTTCAAAATATATTTTTCACGTTGACTACACGTATGGAAAAATTTAACAGGAAAACCTTGCACTTTCGTCAAGAAAATTTATTGAATTTCTTTCGGAAGTCTATAAGGATTCTATTGGAATTCTATTTGTTTTTAACGTCACTTCTATTGAAGATTGTGCAATTTTGCCCTGTAATTTTAAGGGTATCCAAGTACTTTGGCGATTTTTTCTCCAGTGAAATGTTTTCCTACTTTTGCATTTAAGCCCCATTTGACCATAAGTTTCCACACATTTTATAATGATTTTATTATTTAAACTTTGCAGGTCTGAATTTGAATCTCGATATTGAACCGTTTGAAAACATTTTAAAAATCTGAAAAAAATTAGAAAGTTTACTTTTAGGGAAAGATTGATAAAATAATTGAAAAATTGTAATTTTTAAGAATTACAAGCATTTTCTATAAAGAATTTATAAGCAATCAATTTTCCACCATAAAAATCATCTGTTCGGAATCGTAACAAATTTATTCATATTCAGAATTTTACCAGTAATCGATTTCATTCCTAAAAAAATAATAATTCTGTATAAAATGTAACTTGAGTGGCGCTGAATATTCATGATTTTTTTTTCAAATTTAATTGACAAATTTGATGATTGGAAATGGTTGAATTGTGGTCTGTACCAAACAGTAAAATCCTTAAGAGATTTTTGATAGAAAAAGTCATTAAATTTTGACTTTCCAAAAATTACAGTAGAATTTAAATACGGTTTTTCAGGCAATTTATCTCTCTGAAACGAAAATAAAATAGACGTTCAATATTTTAGTTCAGCGGAATGAAAAATAGAATGCTATTTACTATTTTATATTTCACTATTTCACAGTTTTAATGTTATCATATGACTTCGATATGACTGTCATAGAAACATTGTGATGTTCGTGAATAAATTCCCTTAATCGCTTTTATTTTTTCTTGTTCAGATCAATTAATAATTAATAATGGATTCTTAATTATTTAGTTGAAGCTGGAAGAGTCATAATTTGCAATTGAATGTTATTAATTTCTCATTTAATAATTTTTTCGTGAGCTGAGTTAAAAATAAGGCATTTCTGTTTTAATATAATCTCAAATCTTAAAGTAAGACGATTTTTCTTGATCTCAAAAATGTCTGCAAAAATTGCTTTAATTTAGATAACTGTTTTTGTAGTGAGGTATATAAGGACTGAATAACTCCGAAAAACGGGAACCCACAGGAAAAAGGATGGAATCCGTAAGGAACGAATTAGAAAATACTTTGCATCTGGCAAGCCTGTTCAAACGAATTACCCATTCCACCAAGCGAATAGAATTCGCCCAATCATCCCAGCCCCATCTTTCAGAATCCAGGAGATTGTAGCGGCGAGAGGAGTGGCTGTGGACTCTCCAACACCAACTCCAATGAGAATGGAATGAGTTGTCAATGTCCCAAGGATGGTACTGGCAAAGGCCTAGAATTAAAAAAAAATGCTGATAAAATGTATTTTTCTGTTATTTGGAAAATTTTTCCCAATTTCTAGAAAAAAAAATTCTATGAAAGTAATCATCAAAATTTTGACAAATTCAAGGTCATTTTGCATTAAAAAATCTAACGAATTTACTAGAAACATCTGCAGAAATTCTATTGAAGTTTCTATTAGTTCTTGGTCAATTCTATTGAAAAATTTGGAGCTCATGTGTACGTTCGTTCTAATAGAAATGCTCAATGGAAAATATTCAATAGAAAATTACAACTGAATTTGATTTTTCTGTATAACACGCACGAAAAAATTTGATAGAAGAACCTAGCGAATTCGCTAGATAATTCTTTTGGATTTCAGTTGAACTTTCCATTGATTTTGGCTGCCTCCATTGAAATGTTCAATAGAAAATTTTTCATTGAAAACGTCAATCGAATTCGATTTTTTTATACAATTTATTTTATTGAGATATTTTCTATAGAATTTCCTCCGCTCAAATTTTCCAAGTTCTTTGTTTGATTTTCTTGGTGAAAAAAATAGAATTAAAAGAACTTGGAAAATTTGAGCCGAGGAAATTGTATTGAAATTATCTCGATAGAATAAGTTGTCTAGAAAAATTGAATTCTATTGATTTTGTCGATAGAATATTTTCTATTGAAAATTTCAATAGAATCGACTAAAACCCAATAGAAATTTCAATAGAAATCCAATAGAGGGATCTAGCGAATTCGTTAGGTTTTTTTATGAAATTTTTTCATGCGTGAACTTATTCTATTGATAAATTTGTTCTCATGATTTACCTGAACCGTATCCCAAATTTGATAAGGAACATAGTCGGGATGAACGCTCTGAGGGAAGCCTTGGGGAAGGAAAACAGATCTGATTAAAAATATCAATCTCTGAACAGACAAAAATTTCTGCTCCTTCGGGAAGGCGGAAGTCTCCCTAATCACCGATCTTCCCTTATCTGCAAAGGAAACGATTGTGTTAAAGACTGAACGTGTGTAAATATCCAGAATATTCCCCGTGGAGAGATAAATGAGACCTGATTTCATGTAAATATTCTCATCCTTAACATTGTTAATCCTGTTTTCTTTGTAAATAATTTCCGATGACATACTGTCTAGGCGAATTGAAAACAAGATTAGAAAATCCTACAATATTGCCGGAATGCTGATTGTTGACATCAGCATGCGCTCACTTCACGGAAAATGTATATAGCACATGTTTTATGACCTCTCATTGGTCGAGCGAAGAAGCGCGGTTCCGTTTTAGTTTAAAAGTGAAGCTGACTTCAGACGGAATTACGAAGAGTATGAAATTCACCCAGGAAATAATAATCCAGGGGTCTTCGCGCTATAAAAAGGGTCGTGTCCAAAATTTGATAAGAAACATGGGGTGAACGCTATCGGGAAAGGCTTCCAAGAGGAAAACAGATCTGATTAAAAATATCAATCTCTGAACAGACAAAAATTTCTGCTCCTTCGGGAAGACGAAAGTCTCCCTAATCACCGATCTTCCCTTATCTGCAAAGGAAACGATTGTGTTAAAGACTGAACGTGTGTAAATATCCAGAATATTCCCCGTGGAGAGATAAATGAGACCTGATTTCATGTAAATATTCTCATCCTTAACATTGTTAATCCTGTTTTCTTTGTAAATAATTTCCGATGACATACTGTCTAGGCGAATTGAAAACAAGATTAGAAAATCCTACAATATTGCCGGAATGCTGATTGTTGACATCAGCATGCGCTCACTTCACGGAAAATGTATATAGCACATGTTTTATGACCTCTCATTGGTCGAGCGAAGAAGCGCGGTTCCGTTTTAGTTTAAAAGTGAAGCTGACTTCAGACGGAATTACGAAGAGTATGAAATTCACCCAGGAAATGATAATTCAGGGGTCTCGGCGTTATAAAAAGGGTCGAGGGGAATCCGCTCGAGTGCGTCCCAGGAATTTTTTCTGCTTCAAACAAAGAAAGGTAGGGAAACTAGGATATTTAATTACCTAATGCTAATCACTAAATTTCCTCGACTTCCCACGAATAATGCAACCACATTCATATGAATTTAAGTATTAAAATGGAATTAATTTAGTGGGGATGACTCCCAGGGTTCTTTTAACGTGGGAATAATCTCCACAAGCATTTCAATAATTTCTGTACCATTCGAGATCACTTTCCGTAGTCGCATTAGCTATCGCAAAACAAAATATACATCGGAAATACACGGGCGTTATGAGGGATACAAATTATTTCGTTGGCAGAACGGTATTTTTTGGGAAAGCAATACATATACTCATTCTTTCCACAGCTGGGACAATTTCTTTCCAAATCGTTATCATGACAACACTGAGTACATACTTTTTGTAAAGCGCAAAAATTAGAGATATGCCATCTTGGATTACTGTCACTACGTGAGGTTTCACGCACAAAAAAATTTAATAGAACTACCTACCGAATTCGTTAGAAAATTCTATTGAATTTCTATTAAACTTCCTTTAACATGATCCTAGCTGATTCTATTGACATGTTCAATAGAAAACATTCAATAGAAACAGTCAACAGAATTCGATTTTTCTATATAACTTATTCTTTTCATATATTTTTTATAGAATTTGCTGGACTCAAATTCTCAAGTTTTTTTCATTCTATTTTTCTTTTCTTCTCATCAAGAAAATCAAACGAAAAAAAATTATGAAATTTGAGCCGAGGAAATTCTATAGAAAATATCTCAATAGAATAAGTTATATAGAAAAATCGAATTCTGTTGACTGTTTCTATTGAATGTTTTCTATTGAAAATGTCAATAGAATCAGCTAGAATCATGTTAAAGAAAGTTTAATAGAAATTCAATAGAATTTTCTAACGAATTCGATAGGTTTTTCTATTAAATTCTTTCGTCCGTGTTCATCCTGTTGTTTCAAAACCGTAAAATATGAATTTTTTCTTCTGATGGTCAAGCCGCTTCGGTGAGCGTATATAACATTGATGGTTTATTTCACGTCTTCATCCACATGTTCTCCAATATACTGTACCGCACACGTGTTTTTGCAGTGACAATTTTTTTTCCAATTCATTATCATGACAACACTGAGTAGGGTAAGCTACCCAGTAGACGGACACTGCCCTGTAGATGGACGAGCTACTTTTGGATAGGAAATTACGCAAAAAAACACTGAAATGTGAATTGTTGCTTTGAATTTTCACCAACTGTCGTGATTCTTAACCACTGAGTGACGATTTTTTTTCGATCAATTTTTTTTTCATTTGCTAAAAAACAAACGTCCATCTACTGGGCGGTTTTCTTGGGCGTCCATCTACTGGGCAGTTTACCCTACATACTTTTTGCACAACGCAAAATAGTACATTAGAGTACAATTGCACAAATTTCGTTTTCGACGAATGTGAAGTTTACAGGCCGAGCCGAAGGCGAGGTCTGTATTCACATTCGTTGAAAACGAAGTTTAAGCCCGAGTGGTCTATACTATTTTATGCCACATCGTGCAGAAAATAATTTTCAAAAAAAAAAAAAAATCCCATAAAAAAAAAAATCCCGTAAAAAAAAAAAAATTTGCGCTTCGCGCAGCGTGCTTCAAACTCGATTTATTGCACGGCGTGCCATAAATTAGGGATATGCAATCTTGTGTTGCTGTCACCACGTGCGGTTTTATCCCGTTGTGTTTCAAAATCGTAACATATGAATATTGTCTTCTGATGGTCAAGCTGCTTCGGTGGACGTATACAACAATGATAGTTTATTTCACGTCTTCATCCACATGTTCTCCAAATTACTATACCATACTCGTGTTTTTGTTCCTCAAGACAAATCAGTTTGAAACATAGTTGACATATTTTTAGAGCATCACAAATAGGAAAAAAATCAGTTCACCGCTGTTTTGTTTTCATCAGTGACAATAGAAGTATTGCTTCATAAAAAAAAAACTCATACATATCCCGAGGGAATATGAAAAATTCCCAAATCAAATTGAAGAAATTTATTCATTCTCCCCCTTCACCTTCGTTCAAAAACTCACTGAATATTATTACATTTTGAGGCGTGACGACTTAAATTCCAATTTCCAATGCACCTCTCAAGACAGTTGTCGATGGCACAATTAAAAAATCAAATTTCCCCACACCCCCTTACAAATTATTCCAGCATAAGATTTCCTGAAATGAAAAAAAAAACAATAAACATAACATCTTTCAAAGCATAAGAGAGGCAACAAAAAATACCGAGAATATAAAAACCAAAGAATCAAATGAACAGAAAACACTCATGCGTCAACAAAAAACATCTCAATCACGACAAAAAAAAATCCCCAACAAGTAAAAAGAAAATAATTTCCCACCGGAAAACCCCATCGTCACCGCAAGGCCCCGATCGAAAATAAAGTAAGCCATCATTCCCATCGCAAATCTCCATTTATCAAGTGCATTCACTTGATTCCATCTGTTAAAACGGAATTGACTCAACTATTCCGTCCTCAAGTGGCCGTAGCAGTGCCTGTAAAAAATAAAATAAAGAAAAGCTGGGACGGGATACACGTTGACTCCTCTTTGCCCCCTCCCCCCCCCCTCATTTACCTACCGTCCCTCATCTCTCTCTCTAACATCTTGTAGACCTCCCGATGCTCCCCCGACGTTCGTCTCTGTCTGTCTCCGGCACTTCCTGTGTTCCGCCACACGACCTCACACTCACACATCTTGAGTTCACCTGTCGCGTGTTACCACCTGCCTTTTGTAACTTACTCACCTTATCCATGTACATGTGTAAGTTTATTCTCTATGCATTCTATGTATGGCCTCAAGCTACCCAACAGCATATTCAACTTATCCACAGTACCCACTTGCATGGTAGTTATAGAGTTTGCCCAGGACGGGAAAAGCGTGAGTGTTGTACGCGACTCGGGTGATTCAACGTTGAACGATTATGCCTTGTGTTTCAAATGTCTAAAGTTAAATTTCACTCGTTCAAAAAGCATTTTTTCCCGTAATTTTTAAATATCAATCGCATGTCCTTCCGTCAATTTAATATTTCACATTTGTTTGATTTATTTAAACAAAGTATCGCTGGAAATCCTAGACGGTTGTGAGTGAAATCAGGAGTGTTGCGAAATTCAAGAAATAAGATTTCTTCCGAGGAAATCAATATTTCAACTTCACAACTAGTGAAAATTGGGGTGTTCAATATGTCTAGTGTATCCTCAGCGCATATTCCCACTGAGCTTTACCACGGATTTGTTCATTCTCAGTTGGTGAGTAATCGATTGTTGTGCTGAGTGACGACGGGTCAGATGAGATCAAGGGGTTGCACAGTTTTTTAATTTCTTCTTGAAAATTGCGACGCGTCAGAAAAATTCTCTAATTTATATTTTTTTCCTTCTGACAGGGTAATGTGTTACTTTACATCGCTCTGACCGCCCTTTCGGCTTGCGTGTGTTGTTTGTTTTGGTTATTGTTGCCAATTCATAAACATTTATTATCAATTAGTGAAAAAAATAAGAATTCTTTTAATGATGAAGGTATTTAAGGAAGACGGCAGACATTGCAATAAATTACAATAATTATGATTTAGTAATCATAGCAGATTATTGTTTGAAATTGTTGACAATTGTTATTGATGATTATTAGTGCAATTAACACTGTATGTATCTGATTATTTTTCAGAGTTTAATCGATTCGAAAGTTAAATTTCACTCGTTCAAACAACATTTTTTCCCGTAATTTTTAAATATCAATCGCATGTCCTTCCGTCAATTTAATATTTCACATTTGTTTGATTTATTTAAACAAAGTATCGCTGGAAATCCTAGACGGTTGTGAGTGAAATCAGGAGTGTTGCGAAATTCAAGAAATAAGATTTCTTCCGAGGAAATCAATATTTCAACTTCACAACTAGTGAAAATTGGGGTGTTCAATATGTCTAGTGTATCCTCAGCGCATATTCCCACTGAGCTTTACCACGGATTTGTTCATTCTCAGTTGGTGAGTAATCGATTGTTATGCTGAGTGACGAAGGGTCAGATGAGATCAAGGGGTTGCACAGTTTTTTAATTTCTTCTTGAAAATTGCGACGCGTCAGAAAAATTCTCTAATTTATATTTCTTTCCTTCTGACAAGGTAATGTGTTACTTTACATCGCTCTGACCGCCCTTTCGGCTTGCGTGTGTT